TATCCCTGACGACAGTAAACCTAAAATTGAGGATCTTCCCTTTGATGGTTTCGGATTATTCAACTCCAAAACTGACAAAATTATGGAAAATATTCATAAAATGAGAAAGACAGCAAAGTCTTACGTACCATACCAGCTGTATAGGTACCAGAAACAGGCCTACAAAAAGCCTCCGTACCAATCTTCCACTCAGTACCAACCCTTTCGATACAGTAAACAACAGCAGGATCGGACTTATCAGACCCAGCAGTCCACTGCTCCGCTGTTCAAACAACAACGTTTTCGTAGCCCCAAGCAGTCCTTTCGCTAGACTCAGCACAGGGGTAAGCATTTCTCCTTTACCACCAGACTGTTCCTATTCCTTCAAGAATGGCACACCATCACGATTGACAAGTGAGTCCTTAACATCATTGAGAAAGGCTACCTCATTGAATTCTCAGGAACCCCCTTACCAAACTCAGTCAAAACCACTCCATTTTCCATGCCACTGCATTTGGAAATTTCATCCCTATTATCCAAAGGGGCTATAACCAGAGTACCATCCTCTGACTCCAGCGAGGGTTTCTTCTCTTGCTTCTTTGCAGTCCCCAAGAAAGACGATGGTATAAGACCCATTATGGACCTTAATCAGTACATACTATGCAAGAGGTTCCATATGCTGACTCCTGATTCCATTCTCCCTCTTCTGTCTCAGGGAAACTGGTTTGTCACCATTGACTTGCAAGATGCCTACTTCCATATTTCCATCCACCCATCTCATCAAAAATTTCTCCGGTTCCAATTCCAGCACAACACCTTCCAATTCACTGCTCTCCCATTCGTGCTCTCCACAGCCCCCAGGACATTCACAAAATGCATGGCACCAGTCGTAGCATTCCTTCGTACCAAGGGGATAAAATTTTTTTCCCTACATCGACGATTGGTGTCTAGTGGCAAGATCCAACCAGGATGCAGTCCTCTCCACAGACTTTACCTTCTACACCCTAAACAGACTCGGGTTAAGAATCAACAGGAAAAAGTAAAACCTGATACCTTCTTAGATCGTCTCCTATATAGGAGCAACACTGGACTCTGTTCGCACGAGAGCCTCCCTACTGCCCTGGCGAATTCGCAAGATCCAAGCCGCAGCTCTCAAATTCACTCCGTACGCAACCATAACCGCTCACGATACTCAACACATTCTAGGTTTGATGGCATCCACCACTTCAGTGGTACTCTATGCAAGACTAAAACTCAGGCCACTTCAGTCCTGGTTCCTCACCCAGTACAATCCTGTGATGGACCCTCCCACAAAAAAAAGTTACGGGTCCCTCCTCATGTAGCACGACATCTCATCTGGTGGACTTTGCCCAACAACCTGTCACTGGGACGACCATTTCATCCTCCGTACCTGTCCATACAGGTCATCACAGATGCCAGCCCCTCAAGAGCTGCGAGTGCACGGCCCCTGGACTACACATCAAAAGGCCACCCACATAAATCAGCTAGAACTGTTGGCTGTTAGCAAAGCCTTCCATGCCTTCCTGCCACGCATAAAGGGACATGCAGTACAACTGGTAAGAGACAATACCACAGTGATGCACTACATCAACAGACAGGACGGAACTTGATCCCGGCCCCTCCTCCGATTGACTTTGCAGTTCTGGGACTGGTGCCGCTTGCACCACATTTTTCCCCAAGCAATCCATATAGCGTCCAGGGAAAACTCCCTGGCAGACCACCTAAGCAGGTTGCCCACCAGAATGCACGAGTGGGCCCTTGACCAGACAATTTTTCTCAGTCTATGCCAACAATGGGGACAGCCCACGATAGATCTCTTCGTGTCCCATCTGAATGCCAAATCCGATCGGTACTGCTCCAGGGTGGGCATAGACACCTCCTCCCTCGGAGACGCCTTCCTCATACCATGGTCCAGGGAACTAACCTACCTGTTTTCCCCGATACCACTGCTTCTCAGAACTGTGACCATAATCATTCAGTACCAAACAAACGCAATCCTCATTGCCCCATGGTGGCCGCGCCAGCCCTGGTTTGCCTACCTATTGGAAATAACGGAGGAAATATTCTACCTACCTCCGATACCGTCTCTTCTCTCACAGAACGACAGGACCCTTCTCCATCCCGATGTCCGGTCTCTTCACCTGACAGCGTGGAGGATAACCCCCAATTCCGTGTGGTCCTAGACCAAGCAAGGAAACCATCTACTCGCCTATATGACAGCAAATGGAAAGCCTTTACCAAATTTGCCCAGACTAAAGGCATGGTCACGGTACCGGCTTCCCTATCCACAGTACTTACTTCTCTATTGCATCTCTTCAATCTTGGATTGGCTCATTTCACTATCAGAGTCTACATTTGGCAATAGTGGCTCACCAACCTCCTCAATCCCGCTCTGCCAAGCTTTTTCCCGACCCTACATTTAAAAGATTTTTAAAAGGCCTACAGAACATGCACTCTCCTTTACAGCACATTGTGCCGCAATGGTCCCTTCCACTTGTCTTGGAAGCTCTTACCAAGCCACTGTTTGAGTCTATGGCTACCTGTTCAGAGAAATTACTCTCTGAAGACCGCTTTTCTTGTGTCTATTACATCGGCCAGAAGAGCAAGTGAACTGGCTGCACTTCGGTCAGACCCTTCTTACCTACAAATGCACCCTGACAAAGTCACCTTATACAGTGGACCCTCTACTTACAGAATTAATCCGTATTGGAACAGTGGCTGCAAGTCGAAAAGTCTGTAGGTCGAATCTCCATTGACCTACAATGCATTGAAAACCGATTAATCCCATAACTGGCAGTTTTTATTCTATTTTTGTTCCATTTAGGTTTTTTTCTGGTCTGTAGGTCGATTCTTTGGCTGCAAGTCGAATCTAAATTTTGCCGCCAGAGAAGTCTGTAACTCGAAAAGTCTGTAAGTCGAGCCGTCTGTAAGTCGAGGGTCCACTGTACCTAGACATCTCCTTCCTGCTGAAGGTGGTATTGGACTTTCATATCAACCACCCCATTGTGCTGCCAACACTGTATCCTTCTCCGTCCACACCATTAGAGCGCAAACTCCATACCCTTGATGTAAGAAGAGCTCTGGCATTCTACCTCCATCGTACCAAACACATTAGGCGCTCCCCGCGTCTACTCCTGTGCTATCATGGACCACATAGAGGTGCTCCTGCTTCTCCACAATCAATATCCAGATGGATTGTTCAGCTCATACAGCTGGCGTTGTCACGATCAGCCTCCTCTAAAGGAATGCTTGACCGGTCGGACAGAGAGTAATTGGAAGTCTGTGCACCCTCATGCAGCTGGTTTGAGTCCTAGGTGACCTCAGCCAAGGCATGAAACAAACTTCTTCTTACAATTCTGCCCTAAAAAGATACTTGCTCAACCTTAAGAAAAAACAAGAAGAAATTACACATGAGCTTTGTAGTCCTCAGACCCACTTTGCTCAATAAGGTAGGACTCCGTAGCTTAATGTGGCCTTGCTTCCCCCTCAGGGTATTGATAAGACAGCTTCACTGTTCAAGAAACCAAAAATGGTCTTTCCATTGTCAAACAACAGATTATTTTATTTTTTTCACATTATTTATTTCTAAAGAATGAAAAGACAATCGAACATTTTACAAATATTAAATACAAAACTATTCCCCACTTTTCTCCAAATCACATATATATACCTTTACCCATCACCTTTAAAAAAAAAATTGACCAACAATTTAAGTCTCTTTTCAAACCACATGTCTCCATTTTATCAGCATATTTTAATAATGGCTTCCAGTTTCCCGTGAATTTACTATGGCTTATTTCGCCTCTATATATTGTAACTTTATTCGTCATTTTTTCCATCAACAATGTATGCCATATTTTACTTGTGAATGCTTGCAGTGAGAGATCTTGGGCTTTTTTCCAATTTTTAGCTATTTCAGATCTTGCGGTGCCTATGAGATTTGCAATTAATTCTTTATATTGTAGTTTCTCATTTCCCGCCGTGAATAATGAAAATAACAATAATGTTTCATTAATCTCTATTTTTTGATTAGTCAGTGTTTTTATCCATTTAATTACCTCCAGCCAAAAAGTTTCTATTTTGGGGCAAGAGGGATACCGCCGCAGATATCTCGTCAATCAACAAACAGTTTGTAGATTCGGAACTAATCTTTTATTCTCCAACCTTATTGATGCTGCTTCTCTCTTTGCTTAACATTGAAACAGAAGCTGAACTCAAGACAGTCAACAAGTAAAAACTACACAAATTTATCAACAAGTAAGAACTACACATTTTGCCATGAGTTACATGAAAAATGAAAAGCCATTTGGTGTTGGGTTTAGTTCTGCAAGTTGCTTTCATTTGAGACTCTCTATTTGAGGAGCAATAGAAGGGACCATGTTTTCCAGTTCTGTTAAATTTGTTCATACAAATCTTTTAAAGGACCAAACTAGGTAATACATTTAAAATGCATGCATTCTGTCTCTGTTAAGCTTCCAAAATCAAGGAAGCAAAGGGAAGCAATTGGGATCAGAATTACTGCATGTTAGAGTGAGGGGAAATTCATTCCTCTGAACCACAATCCCAGTAAAGATCACATCTTTGAAACTGGTGTTACTTCTCTCCATCTCATCCCAGGGAAGAATGTTGCCAGTCATGCTAAACATAAATCTCCCTTAAGGCAAATCAAAAGGTAGTGGGGGAAACTTTTTTGACATCAGAGTGTTGGCAAAGTGAACAGCCCCACACACATCAAAATTAGCTGCCCAGTGCACCAAGCTCCCCTCCCCTTCTGCTTGCAAAACAAGCCTGAATGTGTGAATGCATTGAGCGGGTATTAGTACTGCAGCCACCACTAGGACAAAACAGCACAAAATGTTAGTCCTTTTGTACTCTATACATATAATACCTAAACAGTTTGGCGCTTTAGGAAGGGCCATCTTCTCAATCATGATCCCAGGGCAGGTCATGATATATATCTTTATGCTATATTAATCCTTTGTTTATTAACTTTTCCACAGACAGAGGATAAAACCAAATCTTTGAGAGATGAGATGGAGGATGCCAGTGGCGAACTGAAAAATCTTCGACGAGAGGAGAAAGAAAACAGAGGAGGACAGATTCCAATAGCTGTACTGAGAACTGATATTGAACTTTGCATAAATGAAAAGTTAGTACACTTAAAGATATTTAGACTTCCATTTTGGGCTTTATTCTATATTTAAAGTAAACCAGGATTACAGTTTGGCAAGATGCTAGTTTTTTATGTTTTTTTAAAAAGCAAACCAAATGAACTGCTTGCATGACCATGGTATCCTCCTTGGGGTGTTCCCTCAGGTTCTTGTGCTAGAAACATCAGTATTGTTGTGATTGGGAAAACCACTATAGCTAGCGGCCCAAGTGGGATTGGAAAGACAGATGCAAAATGCAAGGTAGTCAAATAAATGTTCAAACCTTAACAAGAGAAGCGAGCAAAATAACAGAATGGAAAATGGGGTTAGAAAAAACAAAGTAAAAGCTGCTAGCACATGTGTTCCAAACTCTTACATAATTTTAAGTTATGACTGCCCCAACCATCACGTCATAAAGAGTTTTCTCCAATTAAGAGAATGGATGGACCCCAAATTACAAACCTGACCTAAAACATATAGCAATTTAAATGGTCCAGGAAGATATGAACAAGGCATGTGGGGTGTTGATTATAGTTATCCAACATATTAAAAAACAGCTGATATTCTTAGGTGTTCTCTTGTTTGCTCATGTCAAAAGTTCAATTTATTCGCTTATCTGAGAGAAAAAGGACATAAACTCAGGCCAAAGTCTCAAAGGGACCCAGCTTCATCCTGAGTTTTTTGCCTTCACTTGAAATAAACAAGGTATCTAGGAATGTAAAACTTATAAGCAACTATATAAGAATATTATAATTTGGAGAGACAAACTTCACTGTAGCAAACATCCTCCTGAGACAACTTTGTCATTACAGGCCTAAGTGATCTCTAGCCCTACTCATGCTGAACATTATACTCTGCATCTAGTTTTTCATGTTGGGCAGGATAATGGTGATCTAGATATGGAAGAATTCTCTGTAGTTATGGAGAGCTTGCTACCCATTGTGGTGTAGACTAACTATAACTGAGAGCTGTAAGGATAGATGTTGTGTATGTGTGAGGGGGTCTGCTTTAGGCTGGTTATGGACAAGAATGGTTTCATGAGATCTCCCGGGGAGTTTCCGGTCACATTTTCAGGTAATTCTGTGGAAGTCCTTATTGACAATGGATAAAATCAATATTTTTTTAAATGTTTAAATCAGATTTTTAATTTTTTATTAAGATGCTGATTATTTGAAAAAGCCCTCTGTGATAATAGGTCTTCTTTGTGGCCTCTGTGAATCACACCCTGGGTGATCCGCGCCTGCGCGGAGCCTCATCGGAAAGTTCTAGAGCTTCTGCGGTACCGAAAAACACATTAGAATAAGGCCCCTCCCCCCTCATATAAGTACCTTGGCACCAAGGCTCCCCTTTCAGTTTCTTTCAACCGCCGCATTTAGAGCCTCATAGTTCTGCTTCTGTGAGTAAAAGAGAGTTTTTTCTTGATTCTTTCCTGTTATCAATCTTTCTTCCTTTAAACTTTTAGATCCAATTCATTGTCATCAGAGATTTTTTTCCTTTCTCCACTCAGCCTCCAGTCACAGCACCCCCTCCCTCAATCATAATCTTTTTTCTCCTCAAATTATTTTCTCCTATTCATGGCCCCTTGGGCCTATTTAAACACTGCATGGTCTGTGATAACAAAATACCACTCTCCGATGGCCACGACAAGTGTCTTTTTTGCTTGGGAGAGGCACACCAGACATCCTCCTGCCAGCATTGTAAGAACTTCAAGCGCTGAGTCCTTCATTTTCGCTTATCCACATTAAAACTCTGTTTTTGGGAACAGTCCCTTCAACCAACGAAAATGGCCCAACCTCCTTTTAAGGTCCCCTCACAAACCAAAGCAATGGAGAAGGCTCTTTCTGAAGCCTCAAAACAATGTCCATCGACCACACCATCCCACTCCTGACACTCTGTCCACTTCGTCTAAAACTTCAAAAACCCATATATCAAAGCGCTCGATACCGAATTCCTCAATATCGAAGTCTTCCACTAAATGTCAAATATAACCAAAGCCTCTTTAGTTCCAGAGCCTTCTCCGCCTAAAAGACCTAAGCAGCATAAATCTAAAGCTGCAGTCATTTCTCAGCAGCCTCAACAAACTGCCAAATCAATCTTTATTGTTTCCCTTTCTGATTATGATGGAATCCCCTCTCATCAACCCTGCTCCCAATCACCAGAATGGGATGACAAAGTTGATTGATTAACATCTTCTCCTCCCAGTCCTCAACACTGTTCTTTCAAGCAACCCTTCCATAGTTGGTTCACCTGACAGGGTCGACTCCAAACAACAACTAGAGACCATACCTTATTTGGTAACATCTGATTGTCCACTACAACCTCCCCAGAGACATCGACCCGAACAGTCCCTAGAGCTGTCTGTTTCATCACACGTGGCTCATATCCGCATTCAGCACTCTCACCGGGTTGCCATTTGCCCCAACCAGTGCTCGACCGGACAAACCACCACCGCCACCCAGTTGCTCTATCCAGCTCAGCCGTACCTCCTCATTCATTCATGCATTCATTCATTCATTCATTCATTCATTCATTCATTCATTCATTCATTCATTCATTCATTTAGCTTATATGCAGCCCATTTAGACATAGTCTACTCACAAACACGTAATAAAAACAATTAGTATAAAGTAACGGTTTCCTACATAACACAAAACAGAATAGATAAAGAAAGAGAGAGAGTTACGTAAAGTCTGGAGGGAAGGCCTGTTTATATAACCAGGTCTTGAGTTGGCTTTTGAAAATGCCCAGCGAGAGGGCCAGATGAATCTCGGGGGGGGGCGTGTTCCAAAGCCTGGGAGCCACTGCTGAGAAGGCCCGGTGTCTTGTTTTTTCTTTCCGGGCCTCCCTCGGCGTTAGGCTCCTCAGTTGCCCCTCCTGGCTAGATCAGGTGATACGAGTAGATCTAGGTGGGAGGAGGCGTTCCACCAAGTATTGAGGTCCTAAACAGTTTAGGGCTTTGTATGTGATTATTAGAACTTTGAAATGAACGTGGAATCGAATGAGCAGCCAATGCAATGCAGCCAGAGTGGGAGTAATATGTTGGTGTTTCCTTACCCCACTAAGAAGTCTGGCCGCTGCATTCTGCACCATTTGTAGTTTCCGCATTAATCTCTGTAATACAGAGAGCATTACAGTGGTCTAATCTCGAGATTATGAGCGCATGGACTAAGATGGTGAATGCACCAACGTCAAGAAAGGGACACAGCCGGGCAATCCACCAAAGATGGAAATGGGTGGTGCGAACCACAGAAGCCACCTGAGTTTCCATGGTGAGCGCTGGGTCCAGATGGATCCCCAAGCTGCGAACCTCATTCTTAGCTGTGACAGTAATCCCCCCAAAAGAGAGGGAGTTTCCCAAACCACTGACAGTGGGTCCACCCACCCTCAGGACCTCTGTCTTGTCCGGGTTCAGCCTCAGCCCATTTTCCTGCATCCATTGCAGTACAGACCCCAAACAGCGCTGCAGGTACAGAACAGCATCCTCTGTGGTTGGGAAAAAAGGAGATGTAGAGCTGAGTGTCATCAGCATACTGATGGCATGATGCTCCACACCCCCTGATGACCTTGCCCAGCAGCCTCATATAGATGTTAAAGAGCATTGGGGAGAGGGTTGAGCCCTGCGGAACTCCACAACTGAGACTACACGGGGCTGAGTCCCCCTCCCCAAGCTGGACTCTCTGAGGACAATTCTCCAAGAAGGATCGGAACGAGTCCAACTCCAGTCCACCTATTCCCAGCTCGGAGAGCCTCCCCAGGAGTATACCGTGGTCGATGGTATCAAAGGCAGCTGAGATATTGAGGAGGACCAACAGAGACATTTTCCCTCTGTCGGCCTCCCTCAATAGGTATTCCAACAGGGTGATCAATGCCGTTTCTGTACCATGGCGCGGCCTGAAGCCTGACTGGAATGGGTCCACGGCGTTTGTTTCATCCAAATGCGCCTGAAGCTGATCGGCCACCACCTTCTCGACTACTAATGAAAGAAACATTGGTGACGGGCCTATAATTGCCAATATTGTCTCTCGCCAAATTCAGTTTCCTATGGGCCTAATGAGTGTCTCCTTGAGGGCGGGGGGAACCCTGCCCTCACGGAAAGACCCATTAATTATTGCTGTGGCCCATTCTGTTGTTATAGGCCTGGCTGCTTTGATTAGCCAGGCCGGGCAAGGGTCAAGAGTAGAGGTGGTGGCCCGGCAGCGGTCAAGCGCTTTGTCTACAATGTCTGGCGTCACAGGCTGAAAGAGATCGAAATTTACCGGGCAAGGCGGAGCACTGGACATCTCTGCTCGATCCACTGTATCCAAAAAGGAGAAAGCTCCCGGCAGATGGCTTCCACTTTAGATTTTTAAAATGCTGCAAATTGGTCAGGTGAGATACTAGAAGGAGGCCCATCACCCTGACCAATTCCGGAGAGATTGCGAACTATAGGGAAAAGTTCCGCCTGCTGATTTGAAGCCTCACTTATCCAGTTGGCGAGGTGAGCTCGACTAGCAGCCCTTATCTTAGCAAAATTAAGGTTAGTCGCGGCCCTGACAGCTTCCTTATTGTAATACGTCAGTTTCCGTCTCCATTTGCTCTCTAATCTTCTCCTAGTCTGCTTCATCACATGTTGTTGAAACCCTTTAAAAATTATTCTTTTTGCTGGACTTTGTTTTGCTTTTAGTAAATTAGTAGTAGTATTTAACTATTCTAATATAAGCTCTTTGCAGTGGAGATGTATTAAGTTCCTAATGTCCTTTGAAAATCAGCTGTCTTTGACACCGGCTCTTTGGAAAATGTTGAACCTTTAAAACATTTTTTTTTAAAAATCAGTGCTGGATGTTGGTTTGATAGTTTGTGGATTAGAGCTAACATGGAAAGCTTCTAGTCCATTAAATTCTTGCTGCCTCAACTCTACCTGAGCACAAAGTCAAACAAACGTACCCTCTTAGTTTTTTTTTTCAATGCAAAGCCAGGTTTTGTCATTGTTTGCCACTTTTGATGCCAACTAGAACCTTGT